AATCAGAATTTCAATATGCACTTTCTAGACAAATATGCAAATGCCTAAAGTTCCAAGCCTTGCTAATAAATAATAAACTATCGTGCGCCGTGTACAATGTGGTCCTTAGAGCTAGTTCTGTCGCAACTCATCTAATATTTATTTTAACTACGCGTAAATTGACTTAAAAGTGATTGTAAATTTGCCAAACATTGTGCATTTATCATAATCGTACATTTTTATTTTTCCATAAATCATATTCATATATTACACGATGTTCAGTTCTGTAAGGCTACAGTACCTAAAGCTGTGCTGTGGCCAGCCATGTTGACACGATTTATAAAAATGACATAACACTTATAATTTTTTTAATATTTTTTATTTTTCCGCGCCGCGTATGCCGCGTTGCTCCGTATGTATTTTTGTCTTTAGACACGAGTTAGCGAACTAGAGTGGAATCTTACTCCTCCTCTCCGCCAACGATGGTGTACTAAATCTTTTATTTGAAAAGGACATGTCCTGCAACGTTCATTCGAATGACAAAATTTAAACAAGCAGTGCGAGCCGGTAGGACCATGAAAATTAATGCTCCATGTTCCAGACGTATTCCATCTCAACACAACGTTCAACTGGTGTTATACCGAAAATGTATTTCATACGAGTATAAGTTATAACTAAAGACCAGATTTATATGTTTTTACATATCGTTACTTGATCTATGCAGTTGTATGAGAGTAAAAATTGTGGCCAATTCATTCAATTCTGAGTTTGTAGAAAAAAGTTTTTTTGCATATTTGAGAATATATCATAAGTTAAAGAATATTTAGCCCATTTAGCATATTTTAGAATATTTGTTTTTTTTTTCATAGTTGGAGATTGTACAAACGGTTATCTGCAAACTAACCAATATACCTGGTGAAACGGGTAACATAATAAAAATACTAAAGTGTTTCAATTATGTTAAAAAAATAAAGGTTACCAAATGTTAGCAAAAGTTGGGAATTTTATACATATATATATATACCTATATTGTTATTTTATATCTTGTATTAAATTATTATTATTTAAGGATTATCTTTTGTTAACCAATTTTTTTTTGTTTTATTATATTTTAATATATATATGATATATATATATATATATATATATATATATATGACAATATTTTTAATATTGTGACAATAGTGTTAATACAACATTTAATTAAAATATACCAAAGGAATGTTTTTAAATTTTAATACTGTAGACCAGGGATCGTCAATCAGTCGATCAGTCATTGTAAAATTTAATTTTACCACTATCGGTCGATCGCGTAAAATAATCAGTTTAATTGGATAATAGGAGTATTAAATTTAAAGATTAAAGAACTAAATTTTCCTGGATGGTAATCACTAGGGACTTAAATGTCAAAAGTAGCTCACTTATTTGAAAACGTTGGCGACCCCTACTATAGAATATACTGTAATATTTTTACTATATTCCTACTCTTACTGAAGTACAATAGTATTATATTATAATACGCAACGTATATACCTCATGATTAAAAGAAAGTTGTAAAAAAAAAGTTTTTTTAAAAATGCATATTAAACCATATACTGATGTTTGTTGATTATTTTTGAATAATTTCGAATATTTTTACATATTTTTAAGAATTTTAAGAGAATATAATAAGAATATTTGAAGGTTTTTTAGAGAATATTAGCATCATATTTAAGGTAATTTGAGAGAATATAAATTCGGTCTTTAGTTATAACTAATATAGAATAAAATTTTTTTTTTTTCATTCCATTCAATAGAATGAATGTATTATTTATTTTAAATGCTATAAATAGCAAGGCTAGGCATTAACGAATTAAAGATTTAATTTAATTTTAACTTTTTAATTTAACTAGTTACTTTTGAATTTGTATTAACTTAAATATTAATTTATTAAATTTATTTCTTAATTAACGTGAAATTAACGAATTAATTTTTCATTTTAAGAAATAAGTTAAATTAATTTATTTTATTTTTCATTTTTTATATTTCACCATTTCAGTCTATTTAGTTTTTATGTAAAAAATATTTACCGTGAATTGTTGAAAATTAAATATTTTATATTTTTCCAATCACTCTGTACTCTAAAGGAACACCCTGTATACATGTATCAGAAAATATTTTCTAATAAAAGGTTTTATGTTATAAATTAATAAAGTATATCTGTATGAATAAATGTATATGTTAAAATATTATCCAACTATTACAACTAATTATATTTTAATTTCTTATATAATTTTAAGTTAGTTTGTATATAATGGGTATAAACTATAAATATATAATTATTAAATTATATAAATTTAAGCTACTAAAGTGATTTTAATATTTTAGTATTTTACTAAGTATCTATTTAATAAAATATTTTGTGATTATTAAACAATCAGTAATACTAATAATACTCTATTACAAACGCACACACATAAATAATATTAATTTATTATTTTTAGCTTTTTAAGTATTAATTATTATTTATAACTTATTACTTATAAAGTTATAAGTCACTACTGTTCTTTTTTTAAAAATGAAAACTCCAATGAAATACAATACACTATATGGAAATACTGTATTTTTATAAAGTATAATAAACTTTATAGATATAGTCCATAAATTATAATGATTTAAAAATTATAGTTTTATATATTAATTTATGAGTAAAGTATTTATATGTTTTTTTTAAATCATTACTTATTATATTATAAATATTTAATATTACCTCTCCGGTAATTGTGCCGACCTGTCTGTTTAAAACCACGGTTGATGTTTGAAGAATGAGATATGGTAACCAATTCGTACTTTAAAATATTAATAACATTTTCTTTTATTCACTTTTAATAATTTTATTTAAACTTCTTTTTACACTCATAATACACGTATTTTAAATTTTTACAGAACGTTTTACAACTAATTATGTCTTTTTGCATAGACAATCTACGTAGTTTTTTACGCTCGCCTTTGACTGTCTATACAAAAGAACGCGTCCCTCCTAACTAAAAAACTATATTCCTTATATATGATGTTGTGTGTGTGCGCGCGTGTATGTGTGTACGTGTGTGTGTAATATCTTATCTTTAATACTTACGACTTATTATTATATTTATTATTATGGCTTTCAAATATTATAATTATTTTATTATACATTCAATTTTAAAAATTATATGAATGCTTAGGAGCATATCATTACAAAATTAATTTTGGGCTTGTAAGAAATAAATTTAGCGTTGTATAAAAAAATAAACTTTTTCCTAACTAATAAAAAGTTTAAAAAAATGTGTATGAACTTTTAACTTAATTGAGGTAACCTATAAAAAATTAAATTTTAACTTATAACTTTTTGTTATTGGTACAAATTAACTTAATCGAGTTAAAAAAAATCATTAACTTGCCTAGCCTTGATAAATAGTAATCGTTATTCAATCAAATCGAAAAAAAAAATCTATGCTTATAACACAATATTGTACAATTATAATATAATCTATCTATATATATATAAAATAATTGCTGTTCGTTAGTCTCGCTAAAATTTGAGACCAACCGGACTGATTTCACTAATTCTTTTTTTATATTTAATATTCCTTGAAGTACGAGGATGGTTCTTACGAAGAGAAAACATTTAAAAAATTTCTCGAAAAAGTCTAAAAACAACACTTTTCTATATTCCCATACAAAAGATTAAAAAAAAAGTCAGTTAATTAAAAAGTAAAATTAAAAGTCAATTAAAAGTGAATTAAAACTATTGACATATAAAATGGATTTAATTGTTAAACATTGTGTGTTTGGTGAGACAGGCTGCTGGATATATTCTGTAGAGTGGTAGAAACGTGAATTGCCGCATGCACACATTTTCATTTGGTTGGTTGAAAAAATTAGGCCAAATGAAGTTGATGAAGTCATATCAGCTGAAATCCCTAATGAACAAATAAATCCTGGCTTGCTTATAAGGTAGTCCTTATGAGGTAGTTATAAAAAACATGATACATGGTCCATATAGAACACTTAATCAAAATACACCATGTATGGTGGTTGATAAATGTTCAAAGCGCTATCCACGGGCTATATCGGAAATAATTACTGTAAATGATCACCGATCTTATCAAAAACTTTCAAAGCACACATTAATGTTGAATCTTGCCATTCGGTAAAATCTATCAAGTACATATGTAAATATGTAACCATGGCTGTGATTGGATTTGGTGCAGAGAATTCAAATTATGAAGTAACCCAATACCAATGGGCAGCGGCGTGGCGTGCATATAAGTAGTGTAAGCCTTGCTTACACTTTTAGTTGTATAACATAACAGGTATAATTTTAAATGACACAATTAAAATATAATATAAAACACGATCAAGTTTTAATAATTTAAAATAATACTTCATGTCGTTGATATTTGTAGGTTATATTTATATATTATTTTTATCGTTGGTAATCTAAAAATAAAATCATTGGTTTCGGTCGTCGAAGATAGCAATCCGAAACTACTCGATACAATTTCCCCCGGACTACCGTATTTGCATGGCCGATTAACAATACATTTTCTATAAATATGAAAAAGATTACGTATGTGTAAAGGTACGGTTTCCCTGCAGCGTCTAGACGCGACGTCTGACGCCAATACCCTAGATTATACATTTTGTGTACGACTGGTTTCGCTACTCGCGTTTGACGCGGCGTTCGGCGTCAGTACTAGTCCGGACTAGTGTTGCGTCGTGACGCCTGGTGTAACAGGCGATTATTACCCCCTCAACATTTTTACCGGGGGGGGGGGGGGAATAATCGCCTGAGGTAATAATTACCTACAACAACAGGCAATTATTACCCCCCTCCCCCACATTTTTTTACTGGGGGTTATTAATCGCCTGAGGTAATAATCTACAACAGCAACAGGCGATTATTACCTCAGGCGATTATTACCCCCTCCCTGGTAATAATATAGGGGGTAATAATCGCCTGTGACACCGGCGTCAATATATCAAAATTTTCATTTTTCTCGACAGAGGACGATGCTTTAATTAATCTCATACAAAATAACAAATTTATTTTCGATAGTAGCCATAAATATCACAAGGATAATACTATTAGAGATTCTATTTGGAAAAATATATTTGATTAAGTAGGAAGATCAAGTACGTAATGAAAATATAATTCTTAATTATTTATAATTTATAGTAATAACTTACATATTCGTACAAACTTTATTTTAATATTACTTATTTATTCTTTGTCCTCATTCCACCTATTGTACAGGCGATGGCTGTAAAAAACGCTGGAAGAATATTCGGGACACGCACTTGAAACAGAAAAAGAAACTTCCGACAGGATCAGCTGCTCCATATAAAAAAAATTGATGTATAATAAATTTATCATTTTTGGACACCATTGAATACGAAAGAAGGTATGCTCATACTTATAAGTTATATTATATTATAAAGTTGATTCATAATAGTTTGTATATCAGAAATTACATAGATGGATTTACGGGGTGTACTAAGACACATCCTAATGTAAACCAAAAAAATGAATTAATTTTATATATTTATTTATTTATTTATTTATTATTATTATTATACGGGCCAAGCCCAATTACATGCATTATAATAGTGACAGTCGTACGTTAGAACTAATAGTAGTTTACAATATATATATAAATATAATGAAATACAAAATATATAATATAAATATAACAGTTAAAGCTAAGTATTAACAAGATAAGAATTATAGTAATTTTTAAAAAAGTTGAAGTTTGATGATTTAAACAGATCGATTTTTAATTTATTTATAGTTTTCATAATTCTATTGTGGGGAGTATTGCTTATATAATTAGTTACTTTTGTTTTTAGATAAAATGTGTTTAATGACCTGGTGTTACGACTAGGGACATGGAAAAAAAAAATCGGACAAAAAGGTAGGACAGTCAAAACTTCCTAAGAAGAGCTTATACGCAAAATACACATCTAATCGTATACGGCGTTGTTCAAGCGTTTCAATAGATAGCATCGTTAAAAGTGGGGTATACGAAGAGTGTGGTTCTCTAGGTATGGAACATTGAAATGAAACGAAACGTAAGAACTTTTGTTGTATGCCCTCAATTTTATACTTATGAAAGGATGTATAAGAAGACCATATTATTGATCCATATTCACAAATAGATCGTACCAGACAGCAATAAATCGATATTAAATATAATAAATATATTTAATAATATACTATTATTATTATACGAGTATCAACCCTTTTTAAACATATTTATTTATATTTTTATATAAATTTAGTATATCATTATAGTTGATCTTTTTGAATTATTTTGATTTTATTACTATAACAAATATGGGCATAACTGATGCTGATACGTCAAATGTTTCTACTACAGATGAAATTGAACCTAAGGACCAAAAAAACAAACAAAACGAAAAAGAAAATAGCATGTCCGATTAGCCATCAAGTTCATATGCAGGAAAACGTATTCGGTCAAAATAAGATAAGATTTTTATTATTTTGGCCAAACGATCAAAGGATACGAAGGATACCATACTTAGCATTCAAGAACAAAATAAACTGTTGGTTACAAGCATGAAAAACTTGTGTGAAGATGATATTGATATATTTTTTAAAAGTGTTGCAATGACAGTTAAAAAAATGCTATTGCAAGTGATTAAAGAAGCAAAACACGTTGATTACTGAAATAAATGACAAATATTCAACTCATCAAAAACTCCTTATCAAATACCACCAGATTCTAACAATAAGTACCAACGTCAACTAAGTTCCCCAGCCAATTCATACAGTACTTCAACATCGTCACAACAGTTATTTCCGTTCATTTATGGTGACGAGTCTAATGCTTAACTTTTGCAATTTTTTTAATTTTAAAAGTTGTTGCTTTTAATAAGTTAATTTGTATACAGATTACTTTTTATTTAATTTTGTTATATTTTAAAATGCATTTGTTTTTATTTAATTTTGTTTGTTGGTTTTATTTAGAAACAATAAATTAACCTAAAGACTGGTTTAAATTAAAATATATTTCGTTGTTATTTCTAAGAAGTTTTATTACTAGGTACTATAAGGTATTTATTTATAGCTTATTTTATCCCTCCATGGTATACTCGTGATCGCGATAACATCGTTGGAAATAATCAAATATAAATACATCTAAATATAAAAATGAGAATTAACATCAAACAAAATGGTCAATTATTTAGTTTATACTATATTTAGACGGATCTTCTGAATATAAATAGGTACAGAAAATATGTTAGAAATTATAATCATCTATAATAATAAAACACATTTTTCGTGGGTAAACACAAACATATTTATTACAAGTTCGTAATGAAAATTACGTATAATGAATAATAATAATAACAATATAAAACTTAATATGGGTAAATAATAATATTATGAAACTATAAATTAAATTTCTTGTTTGCTACGTCACAACAGTGGCATATTTGAGGGGTTATAATAACCTAATTTTTTAGGTTAGGTTATTTTACGTTTTCAACGAGAATTTTTAGACCGAGACAATTTTTATATAAGTAATGGGTATTTTATTAAGAAACAAAAATTATGATTTATTGTATAGTATTACTACATTTGAAAATTTTACATTAATTTAAATAACGTGAAACGCTAAATTTTTCATAACGTTTTAATTGTCAATAATGGTAAACGGAAAATTTTTTAAACGTTTAAACGCTTAAATTAAATAACGTTTAAATTATTTATAGCGTTAAACGCTCAATTGCTTATAACGTTTATATGTCCCATAACGATAAATAATATATATTATTTTGATTGAAGACCCAGTCCATACTTAGTGAAAAATTAGATAAAACACAAGCGAACTTTCAAAACACAGATAGGTATTAAAAAAGAACTACACAAAAGACCATTCTAAGTGGATCCGGCATTAGATTAATAAAAAAAAAAAAAAACCACAAATATTAAAAATTCACTTGATATAAATATTACCAAAAATTTTACTTGTAAATTTTGAGCCTGAATTAAAGAAAATATTTGAGTCCCCCCCCCCCCCCCC